CTTATATTCGAAGGTTATTTATTTGAAAAGGTTATATTCAAAAGGTATTCATCTGTAGAGAACTATTTCGGAAAAAAAATATTTACTTGAAGGAAGTATAATTCGAAATGTTTTTATCAGCTGAAAGATTTGACTAATTGATTGAAGTTGTTGGCTATGACCTAATGTGAAAGCTGCCGTAGTTGCTGAGTTATGACTTGACCTTACTGTGTTTGTGATTTCGAATTTGGGTTGTATTTCTTGTTCAGTTTTTATGAGTTTTATTATGGTTTTCCACTGTTACTTGTTGTTTTCTTTCCTTATTGTAGTTACTTTATTGTTAGCAATATCGCTTAGTCTTTATATAGATATCATGTTCGATTGTTTCTATACTTATACTTGTTCTGCTTATTAGACCAGTGGGTGTCTTGACTGTTCCTCGTCACTACCCCACCGAGGTTAGTCTTGATACTTACTGGGCACTGCTGTGGTGTGCTCATACTACACTTCTGCATATTTTTTTTGTGCAGATCCAGGTATTGTTCGCTAGTAGCTGAGCGGATTCTTGCCGAGGAGACTCGAGGTAGCCCTGTGGCTGCATTCGCAGGCTTCGGAGTCACCTTCGTTTTTTATATTCACACTGTTGTACTTATTTCCATACGGTTGTGTTTAGAAGTTTTAGCGAAACTCTGTACAGCTTATGACTTGTACTACCGGGTTTTGGGGAGTTGTTCATTGTATAAAGGATTCATCTCAGAAGAATTCTAGTTGTTATTAGTTGTTGTTGTTATTCCGCATTTAGTAGGCTTACCTAGTCCTTAAGACTAGGTGCCATCACGAAACCCAACGGAGGGAAAATTGGATCGTGACAAACACTGGTAAGGCATTGTATCAAAAGAAACGAGTGAAATAGGAACTGAGCCATCGGTGTAGATCACACCATTCTCTGGATCTCGAGGAAACTCATTCACTGAAAAAGAACTCCCTTGCAAACCAAGGGGACTGGATTCACATTGAATCCGAGCCAGTATAAAAACTCTGGTGTCTTTAATTCCTGCATTTAAATTCTGCATCTTAAATTCTGTCTTTACTAATATCAAGTTCTCATATCCAGTCGACTAATCGTAAAACTAGTCAACTGCTAGCTATTAAGTTTAAAAACAAACAATTCACCCCCCTCTTGTACTATCATTCCAGACCCGACTTGTGAGATTATACTAGGTTTGTTGTTAATGTTGTTGTTGTTGTTGTTGTTGCACTCTACAAGCTTGACCAGTACTTGATCTGGTTTTTCACGAGCTTTGCTCTCAAATAGTTGATAGCTTGTTCAACAACAACAACAACAAACCCAGTGTAATCCCGTAAGTAGGGTTTGGGAAGGATAGTGCATACGCAGACCTTACCCCTACATTCAAGAAGATAGAAAGACTATTTCCGGTAGACTCTTGGCTTAAAAAACATAAAAGGAAGGAGTTGATAGCTTAGTTCAATCGAGGTTTTAGAGACTCTTATCTCATAACTCGTGCCAATAATAATAAATCATACATTTGTACGAAGGAAATTTCGTGGTAGTTAGATGCTCTTTCGAGGGAATAGTTATCTCCATTAGCTAGTTATCCAAAATTGTCAACCAAGAAAGAGAACAAAGTATATTCTTTAACCCCTTTCTAATTCTTTTCCCTTATTTTTGTTAAGTTTTTCAATCTACTCAGAAGAAACAATGGAACTTTTCCATTCATGCGTTAGAATGTAGGTAACAGCTTCAACTATCACTTTCTAATGTGTATGGTAATGTCCTTTTATATAATAAAGTCAAGTCTTACTTCCACTTCTTTTCCACACGAATCCAGCATTAAATAGCCATAGAGTATATATATAAACATCACACAGTAGTCATATTTGTCACTTGATCTTCATAAGTACATTAATCACACAAGTGATTAAATTGACATTATCATGCAAGTGGATTGTTTCTTTAGTTTATGAGAGTCTGCTTTCACACTACAAGTACGGAAAACAAGAAAGGCAGACACTTTCCACTCGCATTAGAGGCGGAGCTTCTAACGTTTTTAAGTTATTGAATTCTAAATTAATAATTTATACATATTAAGTGGATTTCTTAAAATATATATAAAGTTTGGACCAAGATTACTAGGTTCGACCGAACACGTACCTTAAACTCTATATACATATATACACACAAAAATCAGAGACGTATCCAGTGTAGAAGCTATGAGTTCAACCGAACCCATTGCGTTCGCTCATATTCTGTATTTTTGCCCAAAATTTCATTAAATATGTACAAATAATAGATTATGAACACATTAAATTAGATGAAATATAATAGAATTGCGAATCAGAACCCATAAAATTTAGATCCTGAATCCGCCTCTGACAAAAATAAACACTAAAGTATGAAAAGCAATTGATTTGATGTAGTATCTTAGATCATCAAGATTAGCATAGATAATGCAGAAATTAATGAAGCTATTTCCACTAGCGACCATACGGAAAGCAATCCAACTTCTTCCAGTAGAAAATGACACTGTATAACCGCTGTAAAAATAATGGCCAAAATAATGTATAAAATTTGTTTATTGTTTGTATATATATATATATATACACATTCTGGATGTTATATACAAAAATTATACAAATTTTATATACTTTTTCGACTACCAGATATAAATAATTTCTGGCACGAATTAAAAATGATAACACCCTAATTTTGTTCGATAATAAAGAACTTATGCACTTAATGGAGTTTTTTCTGAAGTTACGTAGAAGAAAGAGAGAGCCTACTTGAAAGAGGTGTATAGTCTTTGCCTAAAAAAATATATTAAACATAATTTAAAATATCAAAATTTTATTAAAGACATATATAAATAAAAATATTTTACATCTATCAGTTTAATTTCGCAGCGAGTTTACACACATAAGGTAGAGTAGGTGTATATTCTCAATTCGAATCTATCCGCTATCAACAATAACTATGCTTCAGTCCCAAAAAATAACTATGCTTCAGTCCCAAACAAATTGAATAGATATGTGAATTTTTACTAATCTATTTCTCCATTCATCATAAAAGAATTTCACAATTAAGTATCATCACCTTTAAAAAGGCAGATCGGTACGCATAGCATTTCCATTCATGCAAAGTCCAGGGAAGAGTCGCATCTCAAAGGTGTGATGTAGATAGCCTAATCTAATACAATTGTTAGTGATTGCTTCCACGACTAAAAAGATTGACCGAAACCACTTTACCGTTACTTCAAGGCACTCTTTGGGTGAATTTTATGATTCTTATCTAAATTAAAATCAACAAAAGAAGCTAGTATAGTGGAACTAAGCATGAATTTATTGATGATTTAGCAAAAGAATGGCAGTATATTTATTTTAGGAAAAAGAAGGAATGACATTTTACTAACTCTTATAACCAAAGAAATATAAATAAAATAAGGACAAGTCCAAACAAATGGCAATTAGGATAAGCATTGGCCATTTATGGCATAAAAAACAAAAAATATGACTCAACTTAACAACACTTAGGGCGCCCACAGGCAGTTTTTAGGGGGCAAAACCGGGTTATTTATAAGCGGTTTTCTTAATAAGAGAAGATTGTAAAAGTAAGCCGGTTTTGTGGAAACAAAAGTTCCTGAAAACCGGGAGAAGGAGGGAGGTGGGGCCAACGCTGTGAGGGGTGGGGTGGTGTTTTACGTGACATTATGTGGCGAACCGCACGGTGTTCCTTTCTTCTTCACGTGCTTTTCACGCGCTTGTTATTTTTTGGAAATGGAATCTTTTTCTTACATACCGACACCTCACTACCCCCTTAACCCTTTCCTTCAGGTTTTTATTCTATTTTCTTCTTAAATTTGTTTAAGTCAAATAATTGTTAAAAATATATGATAAAATAAAATTTCTTACCAAAAAGTAAAAGGACCATAAATGAAAACTGAAACTTTCTCAATGGCCCAAGCCTTATTTAGACGTGGAACCAAGTTATTTTGTATTTTATAAATCAACTATATATAAGATAAGAGGATACAAGTACCTATGTTTTGATAAGATAATAAATTTAAGTGTAATTTAATACTCCCTTCGGTCCATAATAAGTGATTTTTTGGATGTTTTCACACAGATTAAGAAATTCACCTTTTAGCATTAATTAGCAATGGAATTGACCATATTAACCTTTACTATCTCACATAAACACTCCTAACACATATTCCAACACTATTTACTCCAAGGACAATGTAGGAAAAAAATAATTAATTCATTCTTGAAATCTGGAAAAATCACTTATTTTGGACCACAAAAAAAAAGCCAAAAATTACTTATTTTGGACCGAAGGGAGTATGTTATAATATGTTACTTATCACATGTTATAGCTTACTAATGGCTCATTTATGAAACTCTTTAAAGGAACTAATTCAAATGGCTGATTTATGCATTCAACTATTTAAACTAAAAATAGTTGGCGAAGGTATAATATATGCATAATTTACGTATTATATGTGTATAATTATGTATAATCAATGTATAAACTATGTAAACAGTTAAAAAAATTAAACAATGAATATAATCGGCTATGTGTGTAAAAAATTTAACTTTCTACGCAATCAAGGCATAAAACTTAAACTCTATATAATTCCTTCTGGGACATTCGATAAAAAAAAAAAACAAATTAAACTGTATATAAAAGTATTCTAGTAAAGGTCATTATTTTTGAAAAAATATTTTTGATTATATAATTAGACAAATAAGTTATTCACATATAAGGCATGCCACACGAACCAAAAAAGAGGCCAAAAAAATGGGAGAATTATTTTTTAAATCAACCTGAAGTGTGGGTGCATTAAAAAATAAAATAAGGAGAAAACAATTTCTGGTTTTCAGGTATTACTTTCTCCCCACTTGCTTGGTCACCCAAACATGACATAAGCTCAAGCCTACCCCACCCCCTCTCATACCCCCCCCCCTCCCCCCTTACTTCTCACCATTGATAAATACCCCTTCTCCATTTCTCTCCGCCTTCACTATAACATTTTCCATTTTCCTTAGTTTCTCTCTTCAGTTTTTCTCCATTTTTTTTCTGTGAGTTTTTCAGTATGAGAATGAGCTGTAATGGATGCAGAGTACTACGCAAAGGTTGTAGTGAAAACTGTAGTTTAAGACCATGTCTTCAATGGATCAGATCACCTGATTCTCAAGCCAACGCTACTGTTTTTCTTGCCAAATTTTATGGCCGTGCTGGCCTCTTTAACCTCATCAATTCCGGCCCCGATCATCTCCGCCCTGGTATATATTATCTCTTCTTTGTTTCACTAAAAGTATGATATGTATATATATTTAAAGATTAAACTTTAATTTCTTTTATTTTAGCTTACGACATGTTTTTATAGTCATAGATGTCACGACCAAGAGTGGAGCTATGTAGAACAAAAGGGATTTATTATCAAAAAATTATTTTGTGCAAATAGAGTAAAATGAATTTTTTTCTTATTACATAGTACATAAATTGTTGAATTTTCTTAGCTAATTAAAAATTCTAGTGTACTGAAAAAAGTGTTCAAAATTTACTTTAGGTCAAAGATTCAAGATTCATGTGTGACATTTTAGTGTTGTCTTGAATTTCCTTGCATATAGTTCAAGAATAATTTTAGTATCGTGTCGAAAGTCTGTCTTCATTGTACTTTGTGAATAATATAAATTTGTTAGTTGGTTATTTTCATTGACTACCTGAACTTTTATTTTGTTGGTAAAAGTTTGATTCTCAACTTGTTATTTTCTCCCCCCCCCCCCCCCCCCCATTTTTTCCTTTTCCTACCATATATATAAGAATTTTTTTAAATAAAATATAAAACATAATACTCATATGCATGTTGATGAACATTCTAAAAATGCTTACTTTTTTTTTCTTTCTAATTATTGATCTTGCGCCTTTTGCAGCCATCTTTAGGTCTCTATTATACGAAGCTTGTGGCCGGATAATAAACCCGGTCCACGGTTCAGTCGGGTTGATGTGTTCAGGAAACTGGACCCGTTGCCAAGAAGCAGTTGAATCAGTTCTCAAAGGCTCTACTATAATGCAAATTCCAATCATCGACGATAACAATACAGATCAAGAGTCTCATCAAATCATGCCACTAAAAGGCTGTGATATTCGACACATTTCCAAAAATAATTCAACTGATATTCACCAAGTAGTCAAAACAAGGAACAGATTCAAGCGCAAAGCTAAAGTTGAAACTAATGCATCAGAGTACATGATAAACGAACCCGGTCCGTTGAAGTTTAGTATTACAGGGTGGGATTTTGACCATCATATGGAGGAAGAAGATGAGTTGAAACGTGCACCAAGTCATGACTCGTTCTCTGTTGAAACTGTTGAACCGTCTTTGGTGAACCGGTTTGAACCGGTTCTGCCTGTGAAATTGGAGGAAGATGGTGGTGACGTAGGGTTAGAGCTCACTCTTGGATTAATGAGCCCAGCATAATAATAAAATGTTGAAGAAACCATTTTGGCGGCTTCTGCTATCGGTTGGTTCTTAGATCAGCCAAGAACAATAGGAAAATTAGTTTCCTTTTTATAAGTGGTGTTTCCTTTTGTTTTTTTTTTCTTCTTTTTTTTTGGGGGGGGGGGGGGGGGTTGTTGGGGGGAGGGGGCCATAATATATACGCATAGATAGAGATGACAGAAGTGTAATTATGTAGATATATGTTGCTGAATGAAAACTAGTTGCAACAAATTTCAAGATTTTGGCACTCTTAATTAACTAAGCTAATTATATGTTTATTAGTTTTTGTGAATTTAACCATTCTCATCTCAAGTGGTGCTCTGATTCAACCTAGCTGATCGGAAAGAGATTCACACAGAGACTATTGTTATTCAATATCTTTCTATATTAACTAGCATAAGCGTTTCATTCTTTTCGATCTTCTCTTTGATTAATTCTTAGCACAGGAAGCTAGTGCTTGCTATATTTAACAAATGCTCTATAAATTTTTTAATTTTTGATTCCGTATACGGTCGAAATTAGGTATGCTCGATTCTGTGGGCTCGAGGGTCACTTCGAAAACAAGTTCGAAATAGACCAGGCGCGAGCCCGATGACGAAGTACAAGATTCGAAGATCGAAGTACTCAATGAACACCGAGGCCACGTGTGACCGGCCTCGAGATAATACCGCTATGGTTTCATAACGGAAAGAGCGAAATTCCCGCAGTGGCCCTTAGATCACGGCATAAATTTCGGAACGGATTTGTACTGGGCGGTTAGAAAACTGTATAATAAGATTCCTTACTACAGTTGAAAGTGTACCTTATTTAGGATTCTCATACTATATAAAGGGGATCCCAATCATTTGTAACCCATGAATCATTGAGAGGAGAATATACAAATTTCACTTTCTTGCTTACTGTTCATCTGACTTGCCTTATTGTTTTATTGTTCTTATCCACCTATCTCGAGGTTGCCATTGTTCGAGTTCGAGGTCTGCTTATATGTTGGTTTGACTTACCTTACTCTTTAATTTATACGTTAGATTCCTTGTTTATCAATTAGTATTGGATTAAATCACATATCTTTAAAACTACAATATAAGTTTAATTGTTACTCGGATTTTAGGGTAAACAGATTCACTTATTGTTTTCCTCCCTTTTCTTTATTGTTCCCGAAGAAATAGCAGTAGTTGTGTTCGAGACATAAATAATAATAACATCAAATAATATTATATTCAGTATGATTTTACTAGTGTGGTCTGATAAGAATGAATATAAGATAGAAAGACCGTTTCAGATAGACGCTTGAAATTATAATATGACATAAAGATATGTATCGTTAAAATCAACAAAGTTAAAGGAGCTAAAAATTGGATTGGTGATAGAGGAATAGGACAGAAATTAAGAAGAAGGGAAGCACGTGGGAATGCATGTAATATATTTTGTCTGACAAATGCTATTCATGCAATGGCTCGCGGAGTCTATACTTTTGGGAGTTTGCCAATTTTTTTCGAGAAAAGTTTCAGGCTTTCTTCTGCCTTATTTCTGGATCATAGACATGAGGAACATGCTACAGGACAGGTTCCCAAGAATCTAGGGGCTTCTCTGCAATTAATCTTGTTTGCTATTTTATTTTCCCAAAAATCAAGTTAAATTTATAGTATGCGTGCACAATCTACTTACTAACTAAAATTTCAACTAAGTACCTCCATCTATCAACATGGACAGGCTGAACCTGCCCGCTTGATTGATGTATTATCTTCGGCATTAAGTTTTAAGCACAAAATATATAGTCTGAAATATTTATACAATTAAGTCAATCATAAAATGTGCATAGAAAATTTATTTTCTTAATTGTAATGCAAGTGTAAAACGGTTAAGAGCAAAGGCGGATGCAGTATATACGTACCGGGTTCAACTGAATCCATTACTTTCGGTGCCGAATATAAATTTATGTGTAAAAATTCGTTAAAATTATAACAAATAGTAAATATGAACCCATAATTTTAAATACGCAATGGAAGGTTGAACCCATAAAATTCAAATCTTGGATCTGCCTCTAATTTGGAGGGGAGATAAAAAAAAAAAAAAAACATGGTGTGTGGTATGGTGTTAGCGCACCCAAAAAAAAATAGTAGTTGACTAATGTTAACGTAACATATCCAATTATTTAGCTTACATCACATAACAACAATTACTTATATATACATTTGTATTCCATTATCTTTATTAATAATTATCTTAGGAGTTTAGTTGGGACCCTATTAACCAACAATTTGTGAAGGTTCTCAAACTCAAATCTTTGGAAGCTTCTCAATTAAGAAAGAAAGAAAAGCAATTTCATTATGGGTTGCTGACTTGTTGGCAAACCTCGTTGGTTCGTCACATATTCCCAATCCAATTTGAGATTTGATTGAGTAAATAAAAGATAAGAAAAATTCATCATATTTCTACTATTTTCTTGAACACCAAGGCGGATTCAGAATTTTAATTTTACGGGTTAAAATAATATGTCAATAACTGATTTCTAAATTTAATAGTTATATATATTTAATAAATTTTTTAACATAAATATATTATTTCAGCAAAAATTATTGTATTCGACTGAATCGATCCGAGCTTCTTGCTTCGTCCATGTTGAAAAGGGCATGTGACAGGCACACTCCACTCTATAAATTTCTAAGATGACTGCATGGATGACGAAATTTGGCATGAAAGTGATTTATCAATATTCAATATATCTTAATTAATTTTTAATTAGAGGGTTTGATTATTTTATAATAAGCTGAAGTCAAGAGAGTATCTAGATTCATTGTCCTCAAATTTTGCATTATGCAAACATGTGTGGACCCATGATTTGCTAATCTTATAATTATTTTATTGCTTTTCTTAATGCTTGCTTTGGCAGGTCGCCTCATAATAATTTTATTGTAAAATATCACTAATTTCACTGTCTTGCTGATGCTAGTTTTTCTTTTTTCTTTTTCATTTTGCTATCCAATGTCAGAAGAACAAAAGAAAGAAAAAAAAAAAGAACAATTGGTGCAAAGACATCATGTAGGAGAATTATTAACTTATCAAGGAGAAGCTAAAACTGCACCAACTTCCTGTTATTTGTCATTAAGCTAACTGATTAATTAACTGCTTCATTCAAAGACCTTATTAAGGCCCTTAACTAACACCTACTTTCTGAACTCTACTCCCTGGGGTTCACAATAAGTGACCAATTTGTTTTTTTCATTTTGGTCCAAAATAAGTGTCCATTTATATAACCAAGAAAAAATTCAATTTGTTTTTCCAAACTTACCCTTATGTACGTATCCCTAAAAAGTCTTTTACTCCTCACATTAACTATGCTGCAACATTTGATTAAGGGTAATTTAGTCATACTAACTACTTTTGTCTATAATTTTGTATTTTCTTAATGGGTGTGCCAAAAACAAATTGGTCACTTATTGTGAACCGGAGGGAGTAGTAAATAATTTATGTCGACGTGTTGAAAAAAAAAAGATAAGCATTGAAGAAAGTGAGAACAAATAGACAACACTATAACTAAATACCATAAAGGGCAGTCCGGTGCACTAAGCTCCCGTTACGCACTGGTTCGGGGAAGGGCCGGACCATAAGGGTCTGTTGTACGTAATCTTACCATGCATTCCCGCAATAGGTTGTTTTCATGGTTTGAACCCGTGACCTCCTGATCACATGACAACAACTTTACCAATTACGTCAATGCTCCTTTTCTAAATTAAATACTGTAGATACCTAAAACAAAAAGATAAATTGTATTTCTTGTCAAACACATCAGCCCTAGTGCTCACATACATCATGGAGGGTATATTTTAATCAATTTAATTATGGTCGATATATAAGTCGTGCGTGGGTTGTTTTTCATAGAACAGGTAAAACATGAACAAATAGCCACATAAAGTTGCATTTTATAAATTAGGAATAAATAAAAAGAAAAGATATAATAAATTAAAGTTAATCTACAGTTTATCTTAGACACGGCTGTCATATTATTGGATCAGCTATGTTCAAATAATTATTTATTAAAGTGTCCCATTTGATTGGCTAGTATATTTTATTTAATCATTAGTATACAACAAAATTAAAGATAATAATATTACTTCTATAAGGTCAACTAATAAAGAGTTTCCTCATTTCTATATTTTTTTTTTAAAACAATATGTCAAAGTCATTAGACTCAGCTATGCCGACGGATTCCATTGAAGGTATATACTTGAATCTGCCTAATAGACCACCATGGATTATTCAATTAAAAATAACAAGAGAACTTTTACTTTTCTACCTATTCTTATATTTCTCAAATATATAATTGCAAGTAATAATTCTTTAAACGAAAACTACGTGTAAACGGAATTATTAAATCCATTTGTTGAATATGACGTGCAAACCGTGATTCCCAACTTGTGTATTTATTTTCCTTAAGGAAAGAGTTAAACCAATTAAATCGTTACCATTTTCTGAATTTTCAATATTTAATTAAGAGAATTAGTGATTCATTGCTTTAAGACCACTTTTAATCACTGATTTAGAAGCGATATAGATTTTTTTAGTGAAGTAATTGGAGACGTAAAGTATCTTTATTATGTTTCTGAATAAACTAGTCAAGATCTTTTGAATTTAAAAGAGATCATTAGCGAAGAAGTTTTTCCGCATAAATTGAATGGAATAAGATGGATTTAACATTTCAACCTTAATTAATATTAGATGTTTAATTTGTGGTGGCCATCATTTAATAATTTATTAGCTTCTATGAATTGAGCCCTAGAATTATTATGATGAAGGAAATGTCGGTGAGAGGAACAAAATTACAGAGATGAAATCTGAGAAAATGAGTTCTATTATTCTGAACTTGGAAGCTACAGTATATATATACAATACAACTGCCTCTAACTAACTAATTGGCCTAACTATAATTAACTTGTGACCATTCTACACTAACTCTAGTTAAGGTTTAACTCTAGCCTATTTACCTTAAAGTAACTCATTCTCAACACTCCCTCTCAAGCTGGTAGGTGTGAAAATATTGAGCACTCCCAGCTTGGACAATAAGTATTCATGCTGTGATCTCAAAAGTGCTTTGGTTAGAATGTCTGCTTGCTGA